GCTCTTCAGACAAGCTAGAATTGACAGTATTCTTTTATTCACACAACTTTTAGGTTAACTATTTACCTGTTAATTCAAATCTGTAATTTAACAATTAAAATTGCTTGAATGGCCGCAAAAGCACCTTAACATCCGATTTCAAACATGCTTAACTGTTTATTTCTCTTAAGCAAGGTGCTTATTTCAGAGCAAAAGCACTTCTCACTGTTATTCTAAGTCCTCCATAGCGCCTTTCCAAACCTTTTGCATTTCGCTGAGGTCCAGAGAGACCTGCTAGGTAGATTAAGAAAAAGACTCACCTGGATAACTAACAGCATTCTTTTTTCCTCCCAAGAGGGTGAAGCAGCAGAGCCCACCGCCTTCTGTTCTGGGTTTGAGTGAGTAGCAGTGGTTTTTAGTAGCAAGGGAGGGGGCTACAGCAGTGGCCCCTGTGAGAAGCTTCTCAAAGCTCCCCTGTCTCCAAATCGGACCCACCTTTGCACCAAGGCCCGGACAGCTAGCTATGGTGGCAGCATATTTGTGATAATGTATTTAGGAAGGGGAACCTGGAAGGACGAGTTAATTGAGGAGCTGAGAGGAGAACATCTGTGCAAATACCAAGGTCAGTGAAATAAAGGAGGAAGGGGGGAGGTGAGCCAGAGCAGAGACTCCCCTGTATCCCATGGTGAGATGGCAGGGCTGCCCCCCCGCCACTCATGTGGGTCTACAGTGAAGCAGATGTCAATTTGACGCCTGTGGGAGGCCCCCATGACAGAACATGTGACTGCACCCAAAGAAGGCCAGGACCCTGGGGGAAGAAGCCCCCGCTGTTGTAGTTCAGCACTGGGAGGATTGCAACACACAGGGGTGATCCATGCCAAAACAGCTAGGAAAACACTGCAGCCCATTGGAGTGACTCATGTCAGGGTTTGTGGAGAACTGTCTCCTGTGAAATGGGAACATTGCCAGAAGTGCCACCCCCTGACCCAATCAGAAGTGGAAGAAGCAGCAGCACTGACCACACACCCCCTTTTCCTGCCCCCTGTGCTGCTAGGGGAGAGGAGGTAGAAGTATCAGGAGCAAAGCTGAGCACAGGAAGAAGGGAGTGGTGGGGGAAAGGTGTTTTTACGATGTGGTAATGCTTCTCACTGTCCCACTCTGTTAAGTGCTGTTGTTATTGTCTGTATTAAATATATGTTCTTTTTTTCTTCACCTAGCTAGTCTGTCTTTTACCTGTGACTGTAAAGTGTGGACCACCCCTCCCTGTACTTATCTCGATTCCTGAGCCTTTTGCTTTACTTTCTCCTTCCCAGTGCTGGAGGGGAAGGGGGCAGTGAGTGTCTGCATGGTCCTTGGTTGCTCTCTGAGCTAAAACACCCACAGAGCTGGACACCCATTCTTCATCCAAAGGGTTTCAATACCCAACTGGAAAAGCCCTAGGCAACCTGCTCAGGCCTTACATCTGATCCTGCCCTGAAGTACCTTTCCAGTCAAATAATCCTGTTATCTCTCAGGTAAGTAAAAAATTGAAATTCTGAACACATTCACAGGAACTTGCCCTTCTACCCCCACACCCTCCTCTGTTAAATTCTTTCCCACAGAGCATCAGAGACTCTTAAGAGAGCTTGACAGTTGCTTGTTCTACTTCCAGCACAGAGACAACTTTGCAAACAGCACCCACTGTCCCTCTACAGTATGTAAACCAACACTCAAGTAAGTGCATTAGTATGAAAAGCTTTCTTATTTTCTTTTTTTAAAGTGTCTGCAGAAACATTTCCCCCCCCACAAAAATTAACTGCTACATTTTTTTTTTTACACAACCACCTGCACTAAACTCCACTATGTAAACTCTCATGTTTTCAAGAAAACAACAGAATCAGTAAAACCCTGAGAAACATGCTTCTACGTATGGAACATTCAGACTCTGCATTTCCTTTCCACATTTATCTTCACCGGTATTTTCTTTGTTTCCCAAAAAAATTCAACCATTTCAAATGCAAAATTTTGCTGATATGCTTCACTACATCACTATCTAATCATTTTAGGTAATTCTAGCACAAATATATTATGCCACCAATACATCTCACTATGTTACGGATGCTCTTTTCTCCACCCATATTACCGAGGTAGCTCCCTAGGCATATTGCATATTTACCTTTTATTGTCTTTAATTTTCAAACAGAACTATTTAGGAACCACCTTAATTCCAACTGTTCCCCACAAATGCCCCATTTGCTGGAACTGGCAAGAATTCACTCGAGTGCTGAAAGTACTCTGAAGACCTTAGCTGCCTGTCACACGAAGCTATCACCAAGTGATTGTGGACGAACCCACATATATGCAGTGCAAAAATACACTAACACAAGTAAGAGTTCTTTTCAGTCCAGCACAGCCTTTAACATTTTAGATGTGCTTTGTGAGCTACAATATAAATCATAATTAATCGATTTTATACATTGCCCAAATCTGTATTTCAGTTGCAAAAGAAGTATCTTAAGCAGACCTGTATCTGGACATTAAGATCATGACACGCTCTTTCAAGAAAAAGCTAGGCTAAATCATATTCCACAAGTCTAGAGTACCAGAACCACAACTCATTCAAAATGCAACCGCCTGTACAGATATTTTTTAAAGAATAATTCTGCCTTAAAAAAATCCCTGCAGTTCTCAAAAGAACATGTATGGATAAGTGACATCAAGTTAATAAGCCTTCTGAAAATACAAGTGCACATACTCAAAAGACACTCAGCAAAAGAGCTTAAAGCAGAAAAGGGTACAAACTTTTCAGGAGTATTAAGAAGTAAAAAAAAAAAAAAAGTAGAAAAGAAACAGGATACATTAAAAAAACCCAAACACACACACACAAAACAATCCATTTTCACAGCAGAGGGAAGTTACCAGATGAGTCCCAGTGCTCCATCCAAGGCCTATGTAGTTCAACACACTCATAACTGAGCTGGCAAAAGGTTGAAAGCAAAGTCACAAAGTTCACTGATGACAAAACACAATTCACATTAGAAATGTTCTTCACCATTGCCCTCACTTTCATAAGTTGATGGAATCAGTAAAACAAATTAAATTGCACATTAAAATTAATGTAGATAAAAAACTGTGCAAACATGAAAAAACAATTTTAATTCCACATATAGGATGACTACTACTTAGGAATGTGGTCCTGGAGAAAACAGTTCCATGAAAGACACCAATTCAGCATTCAGCAGTGGTTTACAAAACTATATGCAAAGATACACCCCATTAGAAAAAAGATTTTCATTATACTACTGCATAAACATGTGATGTATCTGTCTTGCTAACCCTCTTCTACTGATATTTTTATCATTTTTATCAGATATATGTACAGATCCTCCCTCTTAACTCATGTCTTGTTTTGTTCAGAAGCTTCAAGCTTCAAGCAATACACACTGTTGAACAGACTATTTTACAGAAGCGCAAGTGAAAGAGGTCCACAGAAGGACAAAGAACATTGCCAAAGGTATGGAGGAATGCTGAAGTAGGCTCCTCCAGGCTGCAGTCAAAGCATCTGCAGAAAGATACAGCTGGGAGTTATTAAACTAGGAATTACATGAAGGATGTGAAAACAATTGTCATTGATGCCTTATGCTAAAATACAAGAAAATAAGTAAAGCAGGACTCAAGACAGCAAGTTTAAGTTGTACGAGACTTCACATAATTCACTCCCAGAGTCTAAAATGTCTTGCCACATAATTTTTTCTGCTGGAAACACATTCTTGTTTAAGTTTAGACTGGACTAGCTTATAAAACAGAAATCTTCTGAGTAGTGTAAACCATGAAAATATCATTTCTGGTTCTGTCTATGAGGCTGAGGCCATCAAGAGTAGGAAGAGCATCCAAGAGAACAACTGTCATACACACTGTCACATGCTGAAAGCTCAGCTTTAGACAGTACTGTATTGTCTAACTACTTCTTACAGAAATAATATACAACCAGCATATTCTACTACACCAAATTGCAAGCTGAAGTTTTCTTCCTAAAATGTAGAAAAATGCATGATGCTGAGAAATTCCTCTAAAAAGCACAGACTGCTTAGTTAATTCATATGCTTCTCAGGGGACGGGTAATTAATTACTCAAGCTCACTGCCCAGTGGTTAAGTTTGGATCTTCACTATTAAAATATCAAGTCTTATTTATATCATTAAGGTTCTATTGCTCTAGACTAGCATACTTCTCTCTGAACACAAAACCTTCCAGATTGCTAGAAACTGGAGGATCAGTAAACTCAAAAAAGCAAAAGTGCTCTCTAAGCATCAGTATAAGCAGTAGTGACTTGTTTTTAAAGACAGCAGCTCATCACCCCCAGTAATGGTTCAGACTAGGTAAAATTCAGAATTATATTGGCAACCCTGAAAAGGCAGCACTGTTCATCTCTTAACTATTCTACAGGGAAAATAGCACTCCACACTGTCAACTAGCAATTCAGTTAAAATCCTACAAGCAAGAAATTTAAGGAACCAGTTTAATGGACTGGAAGGTTCTTCAGTAAAGTCTCATAATATTTAATTATGCTGCTTCAGTTTCACTAACCTATATTTTTTTATGAAGTATTAAAAAGAAAAATGCTAGCAGTAAGGGTAAAAACCTGCAATTCGTTGGGTATATACCAGTTGTGCTTTGTTGTGTAAAACAGTTTAATGAATAATGGCTGGTTAACTTCCAAGACACAGTTTTAACCCTCAGAATGCTTTCATTATGTTTCTAAAAAACACAGAGGTCTTCAGCTTCACAATAGCTGAGGCATTTTATAGTGTCCAAGAACATGAAACTAATGTATGACTGATTCTCACAGAGGTACATAGGTGTGTGGACTTCTCCCACTACAAGCACTTTATTTAGATAGTAGGGTACTGTACTTTGCTAAAAATCTTCCTTAGCGTGGCATCACTGACAGTAAATTGCATAGAAATTAAGTATGTGGTATGAATCTTCTGAATGTCATGCTAAGTTTTATACTACCCGTGTTCATAATTCAGGTGGATCAAGACTGCAAAACCAGTAACAAAACATCCACAGCATCATTTACTTCAACTGCTGAAGAACACTGAAATTGGTGTGATACAGCCAACAGAAACTGATTTAATTCCAGTGGGATTTAGCTAAACATACTATTGTTCTTACAAGTTTTGAGCCAGTAATTCAATTCATAGAGTCATTGGTTCAGCATTTGAGTTCTTCAATTCAGTGAAGTCAATAAATTCAACAGGGTGAAGTTAGTTACAGATAAATCAAAAATCTGAAGCTTGTTACTCCCAAACTGGAGGGGTAGAAGTAGAAAGCCTTAAGCAACCTGACAGACTTGGTCATACTCTTCTACTTTGTCCTATCAACCTGATGTAACAAAATTATCAGAATAAAAATTTAAGTTAAACCAACCTTCACAGACCAAAGCAGCAGCTAACCAAAATTTCACTTCTTCAGCAGCAGTAGCCTAAAAGGCAAGCTTCCACTCTCAAATGCCAAATATGCACTCCCACTGATATCAAAGAGAGCTCTGTGATTACATCTAAAGCCATGATCTGGTCCCTGATTTAAGTCTGAATAAACTCTTTCAATAAAGCCTAGGCAGAAAGAATTCTAGCAATATGACAGCCACATGAGAATCACAGGAAGGTGCAGGAACTGCAGTAACAAAGTAGGAAACAACCTGTTCAGTCAGGAATTGTGAAGGACACCCTAAGCTGATATAAGTGTAATTGTATTACTGCTATACCAGTGTACAGAAGATAAGGCTAGAGCTTCATGTCTGTCTGTCTTGTAGGAGATGTATTATGAGAACACCAAGTTCCTTAAGGGCACAACTAGGAGGGAGTGGGCAAAAAAGCCACCCAGGAAGCAAAAACTAAGATAATTTCATATATTAAGAACTTTGTCATTCAGAATCTAAATTTTCAAACTCATAAAACAGAATATTTGAAGTACTCAAAAGCGTTATTTTAATCCTTGATCCAACTTTAACACACATTCCCTCTATTAATATTATAAAAAAAAAACAGGTTAGCACCTTTGTCAATTACAGATTTATTTTCCATTTGCGTTGTACTCTTCTTCAAAAGTAATCAAAGTTTTGATTTTTATTTCTCTACCCATACCTTCCATTTACTAGTGCCTGTTCATTTAAATTAATCTGTTTTTCTTCTATATAATGACATACTTTATTTCTTTCACCACAACATCCATGCTGATAGAATTGAAAGCTTACATTTTTTAACTAAAAATTTAACAGGATTCTTCTAAAGTTACCTTCTGACTTCCAAATGGGTTACTGCATCATATATATCTAGTTGTAAATGGCAGCTGCTGTACAGAACCCTAGAAGAGCAAATACACTACACAGCAGACATGAGTCGCACTTCTTGAAGGAGTCCAATCTGCTTTTTGGAAGACATAACCATTTCTAAAAGAGAACTGAAAGGCTCATATACAGAAGAGATCTGTTACAAGAAGCATGAAGCAGTCACTTCAGAATTAATTTACATAAAATAACTTCACTAATTAACTCCACAGAACATTTTTTTACATCTTCCCTGGGTAATCACACTTTAAAAGTACACTGGTATCTGATAAGAGACAAAGAACCTACTGATATCAAACAGATGTTTTCAAGATTATTTTTTTACATTTTTAAGCGCCATGCATGATATCACATTAATGCTACATTATTAACACTCAAAGATATTACAAGTTCATTCACTTCACATTAACATAAAACAGTAAACTATCCTCTCTCTAATATGCTTATCTGTGGGAGGGTTGGTGACACATGTAGCAGATGTCGGCTCCCTGACACAAACTTAACGTTATAAACTTCTTGCATAAGCAGTGCTTTCAGCGTATCCAATTTTGTGAGTAAACTAATATTAAATATATTATTCAGAAACATCCGATGATTAATACAGTCTAAGGAATATTAATAGCTAGTAAGTCAAGTTACAAATACAAGTTACATGATTTCAACTTGCCAAAAGAGATTTATCGTGGCAAGGCAAGAGTTCTAGTTTTTTATCTGTACTCCTTCAAAAACCGTCAATACCAATGTTACTTTGTAGTGCTCCCTTCGGTTCCTCTACTTCCATCTTATGTTCCGGGCTCACCACCAACAAAATAGGATGGGTTATAACGTCTCATCTGGGACGAACCTGCCTGAAACAAGTCACCAATCCCCACCTACTGCTGAAAGCTCAGGGAGTGTCATCTGTTTTTAAGGCATCTTGCAAGCATGCACATATAAAGGGAAAGGCTTAAGCCACTCAAAAGTAGTTTCTGCTGGGAAGTAATTACACACCACTGCCACACTTACAACTTTCCCAGAGATGCCTTCAAGTGAGCGCACAGACCACTCCTTTACAGCTCCTTTTATTCACACAAAGACATCTTAATGCTTAACATAGTGGGAAGAAACGAAACAGAAAGCGCAGCATAACTACTAAAACTGTACGATAGCGGTTTCGGTTCACCAAGGAGCACTGCCTAGAAATCCCAAGGAAAACTAAGCTTTACGTCCAAGCACTTCGGATTTATGTATTTTTTTAAAAACTTATTTATCCTGCTTACAGGTGTCGCCTCTGCCCGGGATGAACGAGTAACTTATGTCCCGCGGCTGGCAGAGACGAGGCAGTGCCCCCGGCGGGAAGGCCAGAGCCGGTCCGGCCCGGCCTCTCTGGGAAGATGGTGGGAGCGAGATGAGCCCGGAGCCGGAGCCGCCGCTAGCCCCGGCCTCGGAGAAAGAGGAGGAGGAGGAGGCGTTTTAATAAACAGGCTTCAAAATACTGAGATTTTTTTTAAA